TGTTTGTCTGTTTGTTTAACCACACATCAGGTCAGAGTTGTGATCTGCATCCACTCACCAGTCTGTCTGCTCCCTCATTCACTTCAGTTAACCTTTGTTGTTCATTCATTGATTTTTCTTGACAAACTAGTTCTTTTTTCATCCCTGCATTCAATGTTTGGAAGGCAGGGGATTTGTCAGTTTTCTCTTTTCTTTATCTCACCAAGTCTTATTGACATTTACGCTTTTCCTCAAAGAGAGAACAGGACGTATAGGGAGGATTTCACACTGTGACAACAACAAACACAATAAAACGAGAAGATAGTCCGCTGTGAGAAACCACAAAAGACTACAAATAATCCCTGATAAAGCCGCGTCTAGAGGTACAAGTCTGTCACATATAGAAATGACTTTGAAGGAAGGAGATATGAGTAAACATATGATTTCTGCCAAAACATCTGCTCTGGCTTTACGATATCTGCTCTTTGCAGCTAAAGCATGATTATATTATATGTTATCATCACACAGCTGATTTGCTTTTTGAATTGTCCCTCAACTTTTGTTTTACTAATGCTATGGAGTTACTTCTTAATCAATGGTATTATGTTGTCTTTGTGTTTCTTAATAATGCAGATTAACTGGTCGGGTAGAAATAATTAGAACACTTTTTTTTTTTGATTGTATGCTTTTTCTACGTACTGATTTAATCTAGAAGACATATATGCCAACACCTTTTGTAAAGATCAATATTCAGCGGTCTTCAAATACCACTTTATAAAACACCTCTTCATACCAAGCTTGAATGCACTGTTGTTGCTATATCCAGGTCTATATTTGGCTCCAGCCACAATGCGTCACCCTACAGTAGACCGCAGCAAAACTGTGTAGAAATGTGACAAGTCGGCCCTGCAGGAAAAGGACCAGCCACCGAAGAGATTTGGAACAAAGCAGAAACACAGAAACATGAGAAAAAACCATGCAGATGAAAGGAAATGGAAAGTGAAAACCAACAAGACAGAGAGAATCGTTGCATGTGCAGAGCGGAGCTGTACATTCAGGAATCCAATTTATTTCCCGCTTTTGTTTCTTTTGTTCTCCTCCCCCTTGACCTTTTTCATCTTTTATTGCTCTTCAAAACGGGAATGTCATTTTTCTTTTTCATGCCGTCAGCACCCTTCAGCACTCCTCTTAGAGAGTGAAGTGCTATCATCTCATTATCTTATTATAGGAGCGATGGAGGGCCGTTTATGCAGTCTGTGACATTCACAGAGAGCACAGACATTCGTGGAGGTGCAGCTGTGATGGAGCTCTGATCAAATACAGCGAGTCCTAAACCCAGAAATGAATTAGGTGTTTAACACTTTCTGTTTTCTAGTCTTGGAGTCAAGTCTTTGAGTGTTTTGGTCGGATGACTGATATAAGATTCGTGGTTAATATATGCTCTCAAGTTTTGTAAGCCTACAATTCATAAAATACAACGGTAAATACTCAACTGGCGAATCCTCAACTTCTATGTGTCATAAAAAGAGCGGTTGCTAACAAGTGGCTAAATGAGACGACTAAACGTCATGACGCCAAACATTAGCCGCCTTTATCTTAGCGGTAGGGAAGTGAGGTCATGTGACTGAAATGCAGTTAGCTTATAGCCTAACATTTTTCTAGCAAATGCCTTTATGCTTACATTTCTTTAAGTGGTGTTAATATTTTAAGATGATCCTGCCAGTATTCTTATTGTCTGCAATCCTCCAAAATCCAATGGAAAAATCCCATTGGCTTTTGTTGAGGGAGCCATTGTGATGCTAACTTCAGGGTCCGCCTTAAAAAATAGGTCTTCACTGCACCACTCTACGGCCAGATGCAGGGGTCAGAGTGAAACTGATTACATGACATTATATGACACTTGTTAGACGCTTTTATCCAAGGCGACTTAATATATACATTCAATACGGTGGGCAATCCCCACAGGAGCAATTTGGGGTGAAGTGTCTTGCCCAAGGACACAACGACATGCTGACTGCAGTGGGATTCGAACTTGCTCTCCCCTGATTCAGGAGGGAAACTGCTTATAGTGTTGAAACGTTGAAGAAATAGTTTGAACGTTCAGCTAGCACGAATATGTTTCTGTTAGTGCAGATATGTCGCCCCTTACAACAGAGGTTTGTATCTGACTGAGGGCCGTTTTTAACAGTCAAGATCTTACATAAATCACATCTTACATACATTCGAAAAACCACGTGCATGGTCCAATATGGTTCAGGGACTCTTTTTTAATATATGATAAAAATAAGTAAACTCTTAAATTCTCAATAGTTGTTCAGTTATTTATGGAAATGTCAGAGAAAGAGTTGTGGGGGTGATCAGAGAGAGAAGATGGGGGTGACTGGGACCATCAGGAGAACAAAAGGCAGCTCTTATGCGCTGACAGCCGGGTAATGGGTGATGCTGGTGTTGACCTTGTCAGAAGGAGACCCTGGGGACCAGAAGGAGGAGGAGCTGAACCCACCTCTGTGTCATTTACATT